CAGCAGGAAAGGACATCGAGGATGGAGACTTAGGAGCGTTCTGCAATTACTTCTTGTTCAGCACTGCTGATGAATCACTTTCTAACGTGTTGCAATATTGTGTGCTGTACTATTTTAATGGCTACACACACACAACCGACACTGCTGACTGATGGATGGACTATCCCTCAAAATTTCAAGGCTTTCCATTGATCACATCGTCGCTATTGTATTGAATCAAGTCTTGACAGAGTGCCATTTTCAGGGAATGATACATGGCTGTGTGTTTAACCACTCTCTCTTTTCAGTGAAGTATCTTTATCAGGATCAATTTCTTGCTTTTTAAAATTCATTACCATTCAAGTTAACCATGGTAAAATCAAAGTAGGCAAAGAGTAACACTGGCTTGGGTTATTTTTTCTTGGTTTGTTTTAAAGAGAGCTGAAGGCTGCTCCAGCAATAACCATCTTCTGCTTTTAAAGGCTGATACACCACAAAACTGTGAGCAGCAAGCCTTATTTAAAGCTTCAGGAATTTTTAGAATACTGCTCTAAACAGAAGCAGCTCGGTGACAGACATTGAGTTTTCTTATTAGGCAAACATTTCTGCAACAAAGGAAACCAGAGGTCTTACGATCACAGTTCGGTTTACCTACCTTTCCTATTAAAAAGTAAACAAGAGACTCTTTGGGAACAATCTGTTTCAGTTCTTCAAGTTCTTGTAAAGCAGACTGAGAAAGAAAAAAGCAGCATAGTAAGTACCAGTTACAGCATCACTCAACTGTGATTTAGCATTAACGTGAAAAAAAATAACCCATGCATTTCCATGCAGTCTATTCCGTCAAGAACAACAGTACAACCTCACGAGAAGCATCTAAGATTCCTTTTACATTAGTTTCTCATTTGAAGATTGCAGCACATTATAGCCCCATTGTTACAGAGCAAGTTTACTGGGTTTTGGTCTCCCACAACACAGCAAACAACTCTGACATAAAATGTCCTATCACTCCTAGCAGGGTAGAAGACAAGGAGCTGACAGTGTGGTTACAGCAGGTGCTTTTTCAGTGTATTTGGCTTCTGAAAAAGAACACTGATGTATTTTGTGCTGGATGTACTGCTCTCAAGCCTTTGCTTTTGAAAGGTTTTAGCTCTAGAGATGTATCTGTGGACTTCTACAAGTGATGACCGAGTTTATACTTCAAATTTGAAGTCCAAAATATTTAGTGAAACTTCTACTTTACTTTTAAACTAGTTGTTGCCACTGGAGCAATTTATTCTGCTGTGAGAGTAACCTGGCACTATTAATAAGTTCCACCTAAAAATATTTAGTCTGCACTTAGAGATCAACATTGGTTTTAGTTATAAAAAGTTCCCTTCAGCCTCCTAAAACTCATTCATGTGAGGACAATTGCAAGTTAGGGCTTGCTATATAAACGAAAGTATAAACCTACATTTATTTACCTGACACCAGCCAAATTTATCACACCACCAAAATTCCCTTATTACTAGTGCTAAAAACAAAAAACATTTCATTAAGTTTTATGTAGTTTATGTGAATGGTGTAGTTTTAGTCCTGCAAGTCTCAACCTGATAAAGAGTTGAGTCCTGAAGTTTTATTTCTTAAAACATCACTTCACCACGGCCAACAAGTTCCTTCAGTAGTGCAGGGCCAATAAGACAGACTATTAAATTTACTCTATTTTCCTCTTGTATTGTCTTCTGCTTTTGAATTTTACAATCAAGAAATGGGCAGGTCATCAAGTCTTTAATACATTTTCTATTTGATTGGTTCAGTCAGGAATCTAAGAGAAAAATGTCTACAATTCTACAAATTCCCTTCACATGTGCACACATGTTTCTGAAGCGAGGTTTCAAAAGCCAGACTGCAGCTTGTCTTCTGTGGCCAAAATAAGGCCAAAGGACAAGAGTCACTGGAAAGAGACTGTGGGAAGATCTTTGCTTATTCTAAACAGGGTGCAGGTCAGCAGGGGATCAGACCAGAACTGCATAGCTGCTTATTTTTCACTCGCTAACACAGCCTTTGAGGTAGCTGTAGTTAGTTATGGGACAGTTTGCTGAGCCTTTCTGTCAGTGATTCAGTATAAACTCATGATACAGCCACAGGCTGGTGACAGCTGCAATAATTTCCCTTACTTTTTCCAGTGTCAGACTAAAATAATAATAATTTTTTAAAAAGCATCACCTGTTGGCCCCAGATTTTATAACAATCAAAAAGTTTAACGTATTCCCTTTAACACGTTCCCTTCCCATGAAGCAAATGCTTCATTGTCAGCCTCTACAAGACAGGCCAACATCCCAGGCTTTTCCTGCAAGCCCCGATGCTACCCAGTGTTAATCTGCAAACGTTTGCTTCCAGTGCATCCCCACCCCCAGCTACAGCAATTTAAAGATAACTTACGGTTGCCTACATGTACCAAATCTTACCTTGTATTTTTCATTTGCAAACAATACAGAAGCTCTATGGAATTTGCATAGCGGGTTCTTGGGGTCAATGTTAATAGCTTTGTTTAAAGTATCCAAAGCCTTTTCCGATTTTTTCAGTGCATGCTGGACCTATTACAGAAAGAACAAACCATTTGAAAAGGGAAAATGCCAGCTCATCTGCCAGACAAGGACAAACCCATTTGACTGCATTTACATACATTCTGTTCTTTTAAAAAAATATATTATATTTGTCCAATTCTAGACCAGGTCTTAACAAGCTTTCTCACAGGAAGAAAACTGCACCACGTCTCATCTCTACCTCAAAACGTTCTCCCCACTCAGTGGCTTACAGAAGTCATTTAACCTTTGGCCAGGAGCAAACTCAATGCTTTCCTCTGTACATAAGTGAGAAGCAGCCACTACCCCTGTAGAATTTGACACAGCTTTGCTGCCACACAGAAGGCAAATGAATGCCAGCAGGTAGCCATCCATCACGCTTACACAGCCCGAAGTCACCACCATGAGCATCTGAGAACCATTTCTAAGGATCACAACAGCAGATGGATAAATGACCAACTTTTCAAATAGCCCTGTAAATCTAATTGAATGGATGGGGGCTGAAGTAGCTGCCTGCTACTTAAAACTCTGCTCGGCATGAAGTGGCCTAAGTTGTCACATCTGCAAGTGACTGGAATGAGGGCAACGAGGACGTACGGCCAGGACAGAAAAATACTGCACTGTGAAAGGTGACACAGGTACCTTGGCATTTTATAGAACTGGAAGTGCTGGTTCAAGGGCATGCAGTTAATAACCACTTAATTTTCTTACTGAAGTATAAAAAAAACCCCTATAAATACTCTGTTCACATTAATATCTGCACATAGGCTTGATTTTCACGTCACTACTATTTTGGCAGACTCTCAAACATGACCTGATAGTATAATTTCATTACTGGCTACAAGTAGTTTGGAGAGAGAGGAGGGTTTCTTTTCTGGCATATTAATGCTGTGATTATTCATTCACATGGCACTTAAGATCCACCAAGAGGTACTCTAAACTTGTTGGTTTGTTGGGGTTTTTTTGCTAGAAACATTCAGAATGACTTTCCTACTGCAAATAAAGTACAGAAGTAGATTAAAACACAAGGAAAGAGTTAAGTGGAATCTACTTACTACTCCAATGTGACACAGTAAGACTGAGCTCTGAGGATTGATATCAAGTGCTTTCTGGAAATGCATTTCTGCTAGACCGAATTTTTCCTGTTTGTAGTAAATCATTCCCAACCCATACCTGCAAGCAGAAAAACAATTCTATTAAGTGAGACCTCTCTCAACCAAACTGGCCTTTGTCAGTGAATATTACCTGGCAGAAATGGGCTATAGACTCGCCAACTCCATCCAGAGTCAGAAACTATTTCTTGTGGGGAAAAAGCCATGTATAAAGTTATGTTCTTCTTTCTTCTCAATTGAGTACTTTAAAGAATTGATATCTGACACACAGGAAGATAGACTGAACAGCTACAGGGTAAAAACCATGCAAAAGTTTCTCGAGGCTAAGTGTTTTACGCTAGCAGACCTAAATTTTACTGCTTTGTGTATTTTTCCCCACAGAAAAAGCTGTAAGAAACTGACTGTATCCTGAGGCATAAAGGGGAAAATCTCTCATCTGCCCAACTGCAACTGAAGAATGCATGAGGAGTGCTGCACAGAAGACCTAAATCCATGGGGTAATACAGCCAAGATCATCTGTGGAAACCAAAAAAGCTCCAGTTTCTTGCCCTCCATGTGGAAGTCACTGTTTAATAAACAGATGAGACCCACATCTTCAGAAACGATAGCAGCAGCAGCGTGTAGAAGATATTTCCCCAAAAGGAGGTCTGTATCATGTGCAAAGGAGGGGGATGAAGCAAAACTTACCATGCGTTATAGTGTCTAGGGTTGACTCTGATCGCGTTTCTAAAACAAGCTAAAGCTTTGTCTAGTTCTTCTGTTAACACAAATTCATGCCCCAACAGGGTGTAGGCATAAGCATAGTTTGGATCAACTTGGATGGCTCTCTGGAAGAACTTGATTGCAATGTCATGCTCCCGTTGCAAGCTGAAGCAGTTTCCTGCAGCGCACCAAGCCTAATAAAAACAGCATCGCAAAATTAGCACGCTTTTTACAACTCAGAGTGACTCAGTTCGAGCTGAACAGATTTTTCCATCTCGATTTACATAATTATATATAACTTCCTCCTAGCTGAAAAAATAACAACAACAAAACAGTTCAGTCTCATTCCCGAGAGGCAGATACCCTTAAACACATCCTATAGTTAGGAGAAGCTGAAATAAAGAAATGGAGAATCTAAGGACACCCAACAAGTTTGTGCCAATTAGACACTGATGACTAAAGCTTCTGAAGCTGTTAAAAATGCCAGAAATAAAACATCTTGGATATTTAAGAACAATGAAGGGGGAGACGGTACAGTGACTTTCACTCTTCAGCTCCCTCCAACTGACAAATCTGGAAACCTGCAGAACAACAACTTCA